TCACTAGGTTAAGTAAGGATATATGGGGTATTAGGGTGGAGAAGATGGAGGTGATTGGCGGCGGATGGTGGTGGCAATGAACGATGATGGATGGCGGAAATGGAGGTGGAGGTGTTCTTGAGATTGTGTGTATATGTTCTTGATCGTGTTATGTGTGTGTTTAGAAAAGAGTTAGAAAGAAGATGATTTAAGTGATAGAGAGAGGGGAGGATGGTGAGCTTTTTTTTTGTTTTTAATTAATTAAAAATATCAATACAAATATAAAAAAGTAAAAAAAAAAACAAATAAAAATGATATAATCATCATTTCAAGCTGATAGTGACCAAAATCACTAAAAAAAATTCAAAATTTAACCATTTATGCATCATCAAAACTCACGACCGTTTTTTGCAATTTTGAACCGTAATCCAAAATTAAACCGTTTGTGTAATACATCGTTCTCGAGTTGAAGCAAAGAAAAGAAGAGAATAAAAAATAAAGTAAGGAGAGAAAAGAAATGGAAACAAATTTGTTTTTTTTGCTCCCGAGTTTAAGAGAAATGGAAGGAAAATTAAACATTTTATTATTTCTTTTCAAATCCTCCCAAATCGGAAAGAAAATTAAGAGGGAAAGTGATCATTCTATTTCCTTCCACTTCCTTTAATGAAACTCGGGAGCATCAATCTCTCTTACTTTGCTTTCATTTCCGCCCATTTTTTTTCTTTTCTTTCATTAAGTTGAAGTCGAGGTGTGTGTTATGGTTATATATAATCAAAATCAAAATGCCCACGACAAGTTATTAAGTTCCAGAAACGACAACGTTTAAGTTGTCTATATTTTCTTGAAAAGGAAAAACATATTAAATGAATTTGTCCGTAGCTAAAAACAACGAACGGTGCAGATAAAACGCAGCCATTAAACCTCAAAAAATCTCCCTCAACGCAAGCTCTCAGATCTCTAACAATCCATCACAAACTCAAATTCATCTCTCTTCTCCAACGTCCGATCTGCTGAATCAAATTCCTCTCTCGTTGCGCGCCAAATACGACCATCTCCCCCTCTCTCCAGCTTTCTCTCTCTAAAGGTATGTGAAAAAAAAACTACTACACCAAAATTGGTGTATGGAAAGTAAACCCTAAAAGCTTCTAAGTTTAACTTTCTTTGAATTTCGTTTTTTTGGTATGTTTACTGATGGGTCATTAGGGTTTCTATCGGTGATAGGATGGCGGATGCTCCTGGGAGTCCGGCCGGTGGGAGTCAAAGCGGCGGAGACCGGAGTCCTCAGTCAAATTACAATATCAGAGAGCAAGACAGATTCCTCCCAATTGCTAACATAAGCCGAATTATGAAAAAGGCATTGCCTACCAACGGGAAGATCGCTAAAGACGCTAAAGATACAGTTCAAGAATGCGTTTCCGAGTTTATCAGTTTCATCACTAGCGAGTATGTATACACAATTTTAACACAAATTCACTCAGATACTATGAAATGTTGAGTTCTGAATCTGTATGCACACTCATGAAACTAGCGATAAGATTATATAAGAATTCTAGATTTTTAATTGTCATGGAGTTCTGATAATGATCTGAGAAGCCATTGATTTATAACAATCGTCTTATTGAACCTTTACATAGGGCTAGTGACAAGTGTCAGAAAGAGAAGAGGAAGACGATCAATGGTGATGACTTGTTGTGGGCGATGGCTACATTAGGTTTCGAAGATTACATTGATCCACTCAAAGCTTACCTATTTAGGTACAGAGAGGTAATGGATTTTTCATTGCCTTTTTAGTAACACATGATCTTTTTCTTGTTCAATTTCTTAAATACTTTGTCTAACTTATAATTTCTTTTTGTTTCCTTTTTTCTATTGGACGCTTATGTTGGGAAATGATTCATGCAGTTAGAGGTGGGTGATCCTTCTTTGACACCAAATTATCAATCAATTTCTTTCAATATTAATTTAAGTAGAAAGTTTCACTTTCTTTATTTATTGCAACATATTTCTTATGTTTCTTTTAGGGTGATGCTAAGGTTTGTGCTAGTGCTAGTGCTAGGGTTGGTGATGGATCTAGTAAGAAAGATACGGTTGAATCTCAGCTTGCTCCAAATGCACAAGTGAGCTATATGCAAAAAATAGCAATGTTCTTTGACTATTTTCATTGATTTTTTTTTTTTTTTTTTTTTTTTTTTTTTTTTTTTTAATTATAACATTGTTGGAAATGAATTTGCAGTTTACTCATCAAGGTTCTTTTACACAAGGAATGAACTTTGTGAATTCACAAGTCTGAACTTTCAGGTTTTCATTCTCTTTCTCTCTCTCTCTCACACACACACATACATATATACATACATATGTGTATATATATTATATACATACATGAATGAACATTTTATATCATGCTTGTTGTAGGCAAAGAGGCATCATGTTGTTGTTCAAGCATATCATGTTTACTGATTCAGTCATTTTACGATATTTGTGGGGTCAATAAACGAAGTTTAACGTGATTTGTACTTTTTTTATAATATCGTATAGTGTTTCGTATACCAGAGTTAAATATATATATGTATAAAAATATTGTTTATTTCGCCTCGTTTTTTTTGTTCTTGGGGCATGAAGAAGTTAATGTGTTTGTTGAAAGGTTTATATGTTTCTAAAGTTATTTGTTATCATGCTGAATCTTTGCATGTGGAATTTGAAAGTTTGTGTTATATGAACAATATAAATAGTTTGTTATCAATTTATGATATGTGTATTTATTATATTCTTTCCTACTTGAGAAATCATGAATCCTAATCCATTCACTCGTAACAGATTCATTTATCTGTTTCATCAAATTGCGTTTTTTGTAAATAAATTAACCTTTGTCATGGAATAAATGTGTGACTCGTTCATTGATTTGATGATATTTTTATTAATGAAAGTTTCATCAGTAGGATGATTTTGTAACTGACAAATCAAATTTATTTATAAGCTATTTTTATTTTCATCTATGTCTATCAATGTATTGGGTGAGATTTGAACCTTTGACCTCGAAATTTATATTACTATCTTGGTTTCGATTTTTTCTAAAATGGCAATAGTTACTAACGGCTATAAATGGTGTGGGAATATTGGAAGATGACAGTTTAAAAATTGATTTCTTGTTTTATCTTAGGATCATGTAATACCTACCAAACTCTTAAAAATTGATTTATTGTTTTATCAAACTGACTATCATTCGATTAAAAGAATAATTATTCTAGTTCAATTTAATTGATATGTCTTTATATGATAAGACTCTAAAATGTATGCATTGAGGTATAATATAATATTTTATACAATTGAATTTTCATTTACCCGCTTAAGTTTATGTAAAAGCTTCAAAATATATCTCAACCTTTTAAATTATATTTTAAAAGATGATAACTTTAGTTGTTTTTTGGAAAATGTATAATTGATTATAAGAGCGGAGGGAGTGTTATCACTCCTAGCATATTATCATGTAATTTTTTTATTGACACGTATGTCTTTTTATTGTCACATAAGTTTAACATTTTACATTGAAAATGGTAGGGAGTGTAGTGTCTCATTTTAAATATGTTTTATTTAGAAAAAAAAAATAGCAACAACCAATAGTTTTTGTGATCAAAAGGTGAACAGTCAATTAAAACAAAGTTTCCTCTCTATCTCTCTCCTCTCGTTAAGGACTTAGTGAGTTTGGTGTAGCCAGCCCCATAGTGAGAGACATGGGGCGGACGGTGTTCCTTCTCCAAATGAGCGCTATAGCGAATCTCGTAGCGACTCCACTCACATTATCCTAAGTTATCCTAAGTAATGACCAAACTTTTTGGACTTTACTCTAATAACCATCACATTCTAAATAGACATATTTTTGATTTCAGATCTATATCTATATAATATATTATATTTCATTTGCAACAAATACCTAAAAAAAACTTCTCTCTACATTTACTTACCAAATATTTACTATCATCAATCTTTCAAAATAATAATATTTTTCAAGGTTTTGTATTTAAATATATTTTATAAGTTTATATTTTTCAACATTTTAATTGTTCTGTAGCATTTATGTAGTATTAGAGTCGGATATAATACATTTAGGAAAATGTTATTCGGGCATTGGAGTCCGAAATGCTAGATTTATTTTAGCATTTATAATCAAAATAAAAACACATGTTTTATCAGTTTGTTATATTTCATGGTATTATTAACCCAAAAAAGCCATTTTAAGTCGGATTTGTTCGAAATGTAGCATTATTTCGAAGATTTTTTTTTTTTTTTTTTTTTTTTTTTTTTTTTTTTTTTTTTTTTTTGTATTTCAATAATGTTCTTGGAATTTTGAAGTTCTCCATGTAAACGTCCATTTGAGGTTCTTTTTCGCTATTTTGATACATGACAGTAATAATCGAAGAAGAAATCATTAAAAGTCGTCTCTTGCTAACAAAAAATCTAAAGAAGCAAGTCATGTCAATGATGTTTTTTTTAATTCACTTTGTCCAAGATCTCAGCGTGCCTACAAAAACCTCATTGAGGCACCTTGGTTAAGGCCTTAAGGGTGAACCATGCCCCGATAAAAGCACTAACTACACATCTTCGACCTACTAGCCAATAACTGTCCCATCAAGTATGTCGAAATTTATCATGGTTTAGGATGTATAATATATTGTTGCATATTAATTAAATTATAATTTTTCATATTTATTTGTACTGTGTCATGTCTTATTTAAATAAAGAGTGTAATGTTTGAGTTACTATTTCTATTAAATAAATAGCATAACATTTTGAACGACTAAATAACAATTCAATTCGAGGGAGCTAGAACAAGATATGATTGGTTCTATG